ATTCAGCTTAACTTTTGGGTAAATAAAAAATATTCTAATGCAGGTTTTGTTATTTTCCACGATATATTTATTGACTATAACCACCTTATATAAAGGTTAAGTTGCCTTATAATTCATCATTATAATAATTAAAGTTTATAGATTAACTTTTATGTACACATAGAAATAAATGATGTTATTTCCTTCAATTTTTGTAAATACATTCAGTCTATACAAATATTTTCACATAACTATGCAGCAGTATGTGTAAATATATATATGTTTCAATAATAACAGAGCTGTAAATGGAGATAAGCATTTGAACACACAAAGATTTTACTGTGTAATTTGAACTAGATAGTTTATCTACATTTTAAAATATTTATTTGATGTCTTATAGATTGTTAAAATAAAACACAAAGATGTAAATATTTGGTGAAACACTTCTGAAAATTACATGAAATTCTATTGAATCCAGGTTGTGAAGGAAAGATGCATACATGATAAAGGAGCCTGGAAAAAGTGTCCCTTAAAGATTTTTCCTAATATTGACTTTTACTAAAGATGTGTGTATGTATGCATGTATGTATGTATATAGTCATTACTTTGTAAAATTTATTTTTATTTACTTATTTGATTGGAGAAGATGGGAAGCACGTGTTTGTCACAGTGCGTGTGTGTGTGTGTGTGTGTGTGTGTGTGTGTGTGTGTGTGAGACAGAAGGAAAGTTGCATGAATAGGATATGAGGGCCAAGTTCCAGAAAGTGCCTCTCCAGGCTGAGGCTACATTTGCTGTTATACCAAAGGAATGAATTATCAATGTTCATTTGCCTTCACAATATCATGTTCTATGCAATGGCTCTCTCTCTGGATACAACACTTTCCCTAGAACATTGTTTCTGGACTAATATGACTTTCTGAGATACTGTCAAAAACGTGGAACAAAAGTTCCACCCTGTATTCGAAGTTATGGCAATCATATAAGGACATTGCAGATGCTTCCATTTTCTGATGTAAATTCTGCCAGATTTAGTTTCTTCTTCAAGTGTAGGTAAGAACATATTAAACTTTAAAGATGAAAATTCAAATAACAGCAATTAGTAACTAGCATTTCCACTTTAAACATTATTAAAATGTTTGGCATTTTTACTATTCAACATCTGTTGTTCTAAATGTGAAATAAAGTACAAAATTAAAATAAACACCACCATCCCCCACTAAAAAACTAAAATTAAGAACAATGACATCTCATTTCCAATGTTGGTTCTCACCCAATAAAATACACTTTCACAAAACAAGCACAAAGCAATGCCCTTATACATTTATGTAACATAGGTATATTTATCAGCTATCAAAAACAAACAAACAAACAAAAATTACAACATGAGGTTGGGAAGTAGACAAGTTGGGAGGATATGGGGATAAGGAGGGGACTGGAGGATTGAAGTGGTGGCAGAAATGAGGGGAGATACAATTGTATTTCATTTTGTATATGGAAGTGTGAAGAATAAACAAAATTATAGTAAAATTCCAGATAGTGATATCTACACTGGGGGGAGGCATTTTGCGAATGTCTTCCTATATACTATCTTGGTCGGGAGAGTCCATGCGGTCCAGCACATTGCATTTGGAATATGGCTGAAGACCTGCTCTAAGAGTGCTAAATTTAGGGATCAGGACATTAGTATGTTAGAGCCTCACAGGAAAGGTGTCTAAGTGAAAGGAGACTCCCCTCACTTCCCAGTCCTTGCCATGCTTTACTGATGAACATAATAGTGCTTCCAGGAAGAGAACTGAAGTAACTCCTGAAGACAAATCTCTGTCAGGATTTTTAAAACCACAGAAGAGTTATTACATTCCATTTGTCCTCTCTCTCTCTGATCTCTCTTTGCCCATCTATTAAACATCTGCTTTTCAGGCTTCTACTCTATCACCCATCTACATAACATCTACCCTATCTGTCAATATCTATCATTAATTTACCATCTTTATAATCCATCTATCATTAATCCTCCCCTACCTACTTATCTATCTACATATCTATATCTATCCATCTTTCTAATCAAATTTTCATCTTTAACATTTTTGCAGAGTGCTATGCCAATTTTGTCATAGGTATTTAAACACCCTTCTGCATGTGACTTCCAAAGATTTGTTTTCTTCTGGGTGCAATTAAAATATCAATTCTAAATTGAAAGCTCTAAACTTTTATATACACTTCAAATTAAGGCAGCATTACTATTTTTAAGAAATTTGGGGTATCTTTAAAAGACAAACCACTTTTTCACCAAATAAGTAACACAGAGAAGGAAAAATTGTTTTTACTCTTAGGCAATATTTCATGTTCTATAATTTAAAAATGGTCCTAATTATGAATTTAACATCAGAAAAGTTAAAATCAAATACATAAAGAACATAAACTTGGAAGTATAAATATATTTTACATCTTTAAAAGAATAACACTTTTTTTCAAGTGCAGATTTAATTCTATATTACCCCTAAATGTGCATTTAAGTGAACAGAAAAAGGATAAAACTAGCAATCAGTCCATTAAAGCATCTGTCTTAAAGCCAGGTAATGATCTAGTCATATTTCCAGAGAGATCAAACCACAGGCAACATTTGCTGATGACCCACTTTTATGTATTCTTTAAACTAACCTTGGTTTTCAACTGATTCTTTCTTGCAAGTATTAAATTACTGTGTTACATATAACTTTTATTACATAATTTTAAGCATTTGCTAAAACATAGTGGCTGATTTCTTTCACGTGTTCTAGGACCACTGTGGAAAGTAATGTATGTTTCACAGGATACTAGAGGAAAGTTTACTATATAGGAAAAGGAATTAAAATTATCTCTCTCACCTAGTCAATGTACAATGGAGAGAATATTGTATCGAATAAGTTGTGTATGTAAAGAAACAAAATAAAATGCAAAAGTGATGCCACTCCATGCAAGGTGACATTCAGAAGCGGTTCACATCCATTTACTGTTTATCAAGTCAAGCAAAGCAATACAGAATTGAAAAACATAATTTCATATTGACTTGGTCATGGTCTGGGTACACAGATATCATAATGCATTTTTATTTTAATTGTGAACATAAGCCTAATAATGGTGACCCAGTTACATAAACTGGTTTAAATACTGTTTCATGTTCTTAAATAGTGTGATTCAGGGAAACCGCACTTTCCATCTCAGAAAATTATATTACCTTATATAACTATTTCCTTAGTAGAATTATTAGCTCTGTTTACCTTGAAGTGGGGTTCATTACTTTTAAACTGGTATTATCATCTACATCTCTAAAACAGTACTTCATTCACGATTGTTAGAATCAGTTTGCTTATAACTTATATTCAAATCTCACTTTTGAAAATTTCTAGTTATATGAAATATTGTCTTAGCATTTAAAATATTTTCTATTAAGTACATATAATATTGTATTACTCTGCACTACAGAAAACTTCAGTTGATCTGGTGATAAATTTAGTTACAGAATATGAACACAATACTGCTCACATCTATCCAAGTTCTTTCCTGATACATGGTGAAGCAGCCTGCTATTTGATCCTCACTATTTTTCATAGTATCTGTTGAATCTGACATTCACTATTTTCATAGTTACATGTAGCCGGTCCTCACTTGACACATCACTGCAATAGATTACTTTGAGAATCAGAGAATGTAAATTATCTTTTGCCAAATGCAGGAGATTTTTCTAATTATATTAAGATTATGGAAGTTAGATAATTCTTGTTATTTCATAGAGATCACAAAAGGAAACCAAATGAAGACGTGTGCTACATCACAGAAGTTGCCACTTTTCCTTGATATCATAAAATTCATATTTTTCAGACTATGTGATTTGTGCATATTATGAAAAATATGCTTACAAATCTCTTGTGTTTACCACACATCAGAAATAACAACAAATCTCAAGAAAAGACCAAGTTTTTACAAATCTATAATTCATTATATTTTCATCAAAGCATTGATCAGACAAATTATTATCAAGTCATTTGCTACAGTTGGTGACATTCATTATGCCATTTTTAAATATAACTGTCTCTGAGAACATCACCCAGTGGCTAAATTTTCAACATTCTAGAGACATTATAAACAACATTATTAAAAACAATCAAGCCTATTTTGAAGATCATGGTGCTTACAAGAAATGACTTAATGTGAATTGATTCTGTAATGGAAAGTCAGGACAACAATTATCCTGGTAAATCAATGCATTTTCTTATTATTTCAAACCTAAAAATGCCAAATTTTGTTTTTAGCCGACTTTCTCATTTTCATTAAATTTTGACATTATTTTACGTTATCCAATTACAACTAACAGGTATATACATATAGAAGATTCCTATTAATAAGAACTATATGCATTTTCAGAGATGTTTTCATTCAGGTAAAAATTTTTACATTAACTCTAACATATTTCAAATATACTATCATATTCTCATAACTGCAAAAAGAAATTCACATTAAATTATGAATATGGAGCTTTTACATTTTCAAATAATTCTGAGTCAAAGTAGTTGACAAAAGTTATGAGAAAACTGGAAGACCATTTTGAATTCATACATATAAGAGTATAAACGACCACATTTTTTCTTAAAGGGAATTCAAAGCCACTACAATGAACTATTTTAGTTTGAACTTTGATTTTATGTTTACAATAATAATTCAAAAAGCAGATTTAAGGACTATTAATAAGGACTATTAAAATAGCTTGGTGGGTATCAGGAATTTTAAAAGTCAAATGAGAAGCAAGCCCTACTCCACATGTTTTTGTCCTGAGCAGTGGAATATATATATATATATATTCCATATATATTTATATACATCTTTTTTTTAATTTTATAAAACGTATTTCCTGCTGCCAAATAATTGGAAGAGAGCTGAAAAGCCCAGATAAAATAGTTGTTAGGAGAAAAGCAGTGTCTGTGCTACATTATAAGACAGCAAGAACTGCGATGCTTCTGTTTCCCACCAAATAAATAACGCTTACCTTGTTTAGCAGTGGAACTATGTTAGCCTCGCTCAGCAGGAGATTCGATTCTGCTGTTGCTGCTGCCTCATTCCTCCTCTTCCCTTTTCATAGTGTCTTCCCAGCGGAATCTTCATGCATCTCACTGAGCCTCTCTTTCAGCAACACTTTTAACTCAGACAGGCAGGAATCTGAAACCAAAGGAACTCTCTGATTGGCTTCCATTCCGCGTTACTGATTAATAAGAAACGTCGCTCATATAAGAAGATATTGCAGCTGATGGCGCTGCAGGGCTCCAGGTTTAGGGTGGGCTGTGCAGACCCCTTTAGGCTGAGCGATTTGCAAGTGAATAAAGTGGTAGGGCTAAGGGAGGATTTGTCAAAGACCCTCATAAGAGAAAATAACCCAGTGTTTTTTAGTCTCCGTTAATCAGCTCTGTTTAATCTGTTTGCAGTTGAGAAAGGTCACAGCATGTCTCTAACCCGTAAATCATCTGCCGAATATGTATATCACGTGGAGCTTGCTGCTGTTCAAGGATTCTACGAGTACTCCTTGCACAATGCCCTGCTCCATACTTCAAGGCAATTCCAAAATTTCAGTCTCAGAAACGAGAAAGAAGACTGAACATACTCATCATTGATAATAATGAAATTTCATCAGTCTCTTTAGCGTATTACATAAAATCAGCTCTCAATTAAAAAAATAATTTTACATTGTCTAATAATTGACGTCTTGGCATGTTCTTTTTATGTAAATAGAACAATGTCACATCGTTTGAAATTTCTAGAGCACTCATTGTTTTACTTAATTACACAACTGAGAGTGTTTGTACTTCCTGGGGGATGTTCAAACATAATAGGGACCCCAGCCACCTCACAAAACTACAGGAGCCATCTGTGGGAGTCCCTGCGATATGTTGCAGGACTCAGAGCGACTGGTACAGAAAGGAGGTCTCTTTACTCTTTACTGTGCTGGAAATGGCACAATAGGAACAATATTGATGAGTAGATAAATCCTTCTACAAAGAAGTTCTAGTAATAGTTGTATGAAATGCACAATGGGAGTATGGCTCGCTTTATCACAGCTCTTTGAGTCACAGTAAGTAAATAGCTTAAGTGCCAAAAAATATCAATATCCTATTTGATGCTTCAAAGAAAAAGAGATTACGGAAAACAAAACAAAGAAACTTTCCAGATATTTCTTCCACTCCAATAGTGAAGCTAATGACATCAACAGAGTGTCGATGATAAAGTCGCCTGTCCAGGACTAGTACCGTGTGAAAATATGTTTCCAAAACCAACAGTTATTCTTGGGAAAGTGTAATTCTATGTGCCCCCAGTTACTGTCACACTACAACCCTGCGGTGGGTGAACTAAAATAAGGATATAGAAGTCAGGCAAAAAAACTGCTTAGTATCTTTGTGTCTGAAAACGAAATCAGGTAAAACTGTTACTGATTTTTAGAGTTCAATAGATTGAGGTGTTTAAGGGACCTTAATGAATTCTTCATGGACATATGGATATTACCTATTTTCAAGAAAGGAGAGAGAAAGAGAGAGAGAGAGAGAGACTTAAAACTCAAGCCGCTTGAGAGTTCACCCAGTATACATGCTACATCAAATAAAATTACATTACAGAGAACACTTTGCTAATACAGAAATAAACTATCACAAGTAAGTACAGGAAAACACATTAAACAAAATGATTCATCATAGGTTAAGGTAAACATTCACAGGTAAAAGCTTTAAATCCCTATGTTGTGCATGTTTACCTCCCCACTAAAACTTTGCTGTAAGAGAAAAACTGTTCTGTGAGAAATACACAATCCAACAGAGTATTCTATAACCTAATTTAGAGCTATTTTTACTAATCATAGAAAATAGAGAAAGAAAGTGTTACCAGGTTTTAAAAAAAATGGTAACTGCCTCAGGAGTTTTCTGGCTTTTACTCCTTAGTGAGAATACTCTGAAAAGAGTTTAACATGGAACTTTCCAAAAACTGAAAAAATATGTATTGAAGACATAAATCTATATGTCTTCCAATAAAATTAATAATCTATATCATATTGAGGTGATGTGAGCAAATGTCTACTTTTCCCAGGCATGGAACAGAACAAAGAAATGGTTGTAGGCAGGTCTAGCTTAGAAGGGCAATATGTTTTAATTTGGTCACTTATAGGAACATGGGCAACCTATGGGGTAACTTTACCACTGAAGGCATTAAATAAATAAATAAATAAATAAATAAATAAATAAATAAATAAATAAACTCTTGGAAAGGGTTGAATGTCTATTTACAGTTAAAGAGAGATTGAAATCTTAAGACAATTCCCTAACAACTCTAAACTCAATAAATCTTGGGAAAGGTCAAGCCGGCATCAGTCATCAGTGCCATCTTCTGCTTTCTAACTGGCAGCTAATCCTTAAACAGGGTGGTGGTTATAGAGCAGATTCTCAGTTCCTGAGGTTGTTACACTGATTGGTTGATTAACCCAGGCTTGCACAATCATTTTGGTAACCACAGCTGTAAATAGTTAAAGAGAGCAAAGACCACATCATGTTCAAAGGATAGCATTCCAGAACATCTTGTACAGCACATAGAAACTTTTTTATTTCTTTTTCTCTTTTAAGTTACTGACAATCAAATGAACACTGGGCCTTATAAGTACTAAGCAAGTATACAGCATCTAAGCTACAAATACATTTCTAGACTGTTTTTCTTTTTCTCAAGACAGGGGTTCATTGTGTACCTCTGGCTATCCTGAAACTCTGTTTCTAGACCCGATTGATCTTGAACTCATATATCTGCCTGTCAATGCATCCTGAATGCTAGGATTAAAGGCTTGTGACACCCTACCCTCCCAGCCTTGCTTTTAATGCTTGAAGAAATGAATGTAAATACAGGTTTTCACTAAAGTGTTATTTTCCTTATTGCTTGTTTCTATAGAAATTGTATTTCTTCTGTGTATTTACAATTCAAACTCTCTAGTAGAAATGTAAAATAATATATGAAAATGTGTTTTTCAACTTAACTTTGAATTATGCTTCCCCTTTTTTTTTTTTTTTTTTTTATCAATTGGTTGATTACTCCTCCAGAACAGTCACTAATTGGATGTTTATTGGGTAATCGTTTCAGGATTTCTGGTTTCTCTGAAACAAATCCTACAGACAGAGTCACTATTGGTACAAATGGCACACTATAAAGTCTGCATTTTCTCCTTCATAACCTGCCTTGGTTTCATTTTCCTTCACTTCTGCATTCTTGAAACCATAAGCTAAAGTGAAATATTCACAAATGAACTCCTGCTAAGTTTGGGTTTGTGAGATCCCAACATAAGGCTGGAGTAAATGGAATCTACATATTATCTTTATTTAACTAAGTCATTTGTTCTCTTATGGTCAACTTCATAAATCAATAAAAATTTTATTCTTATTTTTTCCTTTGTTGAACATAGATTCCCTTCTCACACAATATATCCTGGTAATAGTTATTCCTCTTGCTACTCCTCCCCTCTGCATCTTTACATTTTCTGTCTCTCCTTAGAAAAGAATAGATTTCTAGGGATATCAACTCAAATTGACAAAACACAAATTAGTGTCTAATCAAATTATCACCAGAGAGGCTTCCTCTGAAAGCAGATAGGGACAGATGCAGAGACCCGAAACCACACTTTATTCTGAGAAAGTGTATAAACTGGAAATCTCCATGCAATTCCTCCCCTCAGAGCTCAGAGAATTTTATGATATGAGAAACAGGTAGATTCTATGAGACAGAAGGAATAGAGGACACCTTAAAAATATGTCCTCCTGCATTAACTAAGCAAGGTACAAATGAGCTCACAGAGATTGAAGCAGCAAGACCAGGGCCTACATGGATCTGAACAGGTCATTTGTGTATATATTAAAGCTGTTAATTTAGTGTTTTTAAGGAATGCCTGGGTGTGAAAACTCTTGTGCCTGCTCTTGTGATTCTTTTCCCCCTGTTGGATTATTTGTGCAACTTCAGTAGAATAGTTTTTGCTTCATCATCTTATAATGAATCAAACTTTCTTTATCACTTTGTATTTGACAGATACTATTAATTGCAGGAATAAATTTGGTGGTATATTTTTTTCTCTTTTGTGTTTTCATTCTGGCAACCCCCACTTACTTATTGCCTTTGGAAATTACAGATGGGTTTCACTTTCATATAGAAAAATCACACTTTGAATTGTTTTATTGGAAACACTATTGTGCTATATAATAATACCTAATTAAAAGATTAAGAATGTGATGTAGATATGATGCTAATTTATTTGGCTGAAGTAAGGAATTTTAAAAATGAAATAGTAAATAGAATAAGCTATAACTCACTGAGAATTTAGCACACAATTGTTCCTGCACTAAAGAGTTAGGCACATATAAGCATGAGCATAGGGTCGCAGTAGAGACACTAACGCCTCATAAAGGATTATTGGAATCTATGATAGTTATCTGTTCCTGATAAGGCATGCTTACTACCTGCCAATTGAAATCAAATGCTTGAGCTGGCAGGATTGCTCAGTTGGGAAACGCTATTGGCATTAAGTTTGACTCCCTGAGTTTTATGCTCAGTGCTCACATGACCATATGGTGGGAGAAGTCTTTGATCTTCACAGTAGTGCCAACTACATTTGAGCATTGCTGTCACCCTCCTTGGGTATCTAAAAGGAATTTGTAAAAGAAATGGAAGTTCACTGTTGTTGGCTATAACTCAAAATTCGCTAGCTGGGGGCTGAAGAGACAGCTTAGCCGTTAAGAGCACTGGTTGCTCTTCCAGAGGTACTGATTTCAGTTCCAAGCAATCACATGGTGGGTCACAACCATCTATAATAGGATATGATGGCCTCTTCCAGCATGCACACATAAAATATAAATAAATAATAAATAAAAATTTTTTTAAAATTCACTATATGTTTTCCCTGATACAACACTTTCTCATTTGCTTTTTTTCTTTTAGAAGTTCTTAACCATAAAGAATGAGTTAAATCAAATATTTTTAATCAAATATTTTTTCCAACTTCTGTCAAAGCCATGTTCTGTACATTGATTGTATTTCATCAATAAATTTGTAAATTTAAAAATTAAATTGTAAAATATTTTGAAGATCATCTCACAATCTCATACAAGCGTCCCATGCTCACTAGCAAAACAGGTAGAAACTGAGAATGGATGCCCTTTGAATAAGTTAGAATTTATCATTATGTAAGTTTGGTGAAGATAGTATTTGAAAGTAGTACAGTACATCTTTGTAATACTCTCATTGCAAAGATTTCAGCCAAAGATCCTTTTACATTTTACCTTTTTACTTCTCTTAAAATATATATATTTGTCTAATCTGTCCATTACTTTTGTGTGTGTGTTTAAATAAATGTGTTTTGACTTGTTTTAGATAGAGTTGCAATACACAGTCCATATCGGCCTCAAATTCATACCAATCC